GTGACCGGCGTCAGACAGTTCATGCATATGTACAGTGCCTTGCGAAAGTATTCGGCCCCCTTGAACTTTGCGACCTTTTGCCACATTTCAGGCTTCAAACATAAAGATATAAAACTGTAATTTTTTGTGAAGAATCAACAACAAGTGGGACACAATCATGAAGTGGAACGAAATTTATTGGATATTTCAAACTTTTTTAACAAATAAAAAACTGAATAATTGGGCGTGCAAAATTATTCAGCCCCTTTACTTTCAGTGCAGCAAACTCTCTCCAGAAGTTCAGTGAGGATCTCTGAATGATCCAATGTTGACCTAAATGACTAATGATGATAAATAGAATCCACCTGTGTGTAATCAAGTCTCCGTATAAATGCACCTGCACTGTGATAGTCTCAGAGGTCTGTTTAAAGCGCAGAGAGCATCATGAAGAACAAGGAACACACCAGGCAGGTCTGAGATACTGTTGTGGAGAAGTTTAAAGCCGGATTTGGATACAAAAAGATTTCCCAAGCTTTAAACATCCCAAGGAGCACTGTGCAAGCGATAATATTGAAATGGAAGGAGTATCAGACCACTGCAAATCTACCAAGACCTGGCCGTCCCTCTAAACTTTCAGCTCATACAAGGAGAAGACTGATCAGAGATGCAGCCAAGAGGCCCATGATCACTCTGGATGAACTGCAGCGATCTACAGCTGAGGTGGGAGACTCTGTCCATAGGACAACAATCAGTCGTATACTGCACAAATCTGGCCTTTATGGAAGAGTGGCAAGAAGAAAGCCATTTCTTAAAGATATCCATAAAAAGTGTCGTTTAAAGTTTGCCACAAGCCACCTGGGAGACACACCAAACATGTGGAAGAAGGTGCTCTGGTCAGATGAAACCAAAATCGAACTTTTTGGCAACAATGCAAAACGTTATGTTTGGTGTAAAAGCAACACAGCTCATCACCCTGAACACACCATCCCCATTGTCAAACATGGTGGTGGCAGCATCATGTTTTGGGCCTGCTTTTCTTCAGCAGGGACAGGGAAGATGGTTAAAATTGATGGGAAGATGGATGGAGCCAAATACAGGACCATTCTGGAAGGAAACCTGATGGAGTCTGCAAAAGACCTGAGTACTGGGACGGAGATTTGTCTTCCAACAAGACAATGATCCAAAACATAAAGCAAAATCTACAATGGAATGGTTCACAAATACACATATCCAGGTGTTAGAATGGCCAAGTCAAAGTCCAGACCTGAATCCAGTCGAGAATCTGTGGAAAGAACTGAAAACTGCTGTTCACAAACGCTCTCCATCCAACCTCACTGAGCTCGAGCTGTTTTGCAAGGAGGAATGGGCAAAAATTTCCGTCTCTCGATGTGCAAAACTGATAGAGACATACCCCAAGTGACTTACAGCTGTAATCGCAGCAAAAGGTGGCGCTACAAAGTATTAACTTAAGGGGGCTGAATAATTTTGCACGGCCAATTTTTCAGTTTTTTATTTGTTAAAAAAGTTTGAAATATCCAATAAATTTCGTTCCACTTCATGATTGTGTCCCACTTGTTGTTGATTCTTCACAAAAAAATACAGTTTATATCTTTATGTTTGAAGCCTGAAATGTGGCAAAAGGTCGCAAAGTTCAAGGGGGCCGAATACTTTAGCAAGGCACTGTAGATGTCATGCAGTGCACAGATTCACAAGGAACATCCATGTGCCCCAGCTGCAAGTCTGTTTGCCTTCTGTCTTTGATGTCATCCCCACGTGTTGACATGTCACTTCACATTCTACCTCCTTTCACTGGTGTTTGTTTAGGGTGCCCACAAAGACTCAACACAACTGAACTGAATTCCGAGCACACTGCAGGTTTCATTTGCTAATCATAAATATGTGAGGAGTTTGAGATCAGCTGCTGCACCATGACCTTTTAAACTTTGGCCTCTGAAATGTGTGTCCCTCTCTCTGTGATGGAGTTACTGCCCCTTTCAGAAAACAACAACAGTGGCTGCAGTGCTGTTTACTGACAACGTGCACCACAAGATGTCAGCTTGAACCAATGCGAGTTGTTGCCTGAATCCAACTCTCCACTTTATCTCTGTCCTTTGACATGGTCAGGAATAATAAACCCTTGCACCTGAGAGATGCAACTGGGGGCAGAAACTCCCAGAGGTAAGCGTCACCTGGTTCACACACCCGTTGTCTTCAGCCCACTATGATTGGGCCAATCCTTGTCCTCAGCCTCTTTTAAAACAAACCTTCTGGTACTGGTGAAGAAGTGATGAAACCAACATGATCCTTCATCAGCTGACTTTTGTCTTTTTTATTCTTTGACCTGGATGCAAGTTTTTACTGGATTTGTTTGTTACACCTGCTCTCTCAGTTCCTTGTGTGGTTGTTTTTTGTCTTCATGTCACACTTTAATGATAACCTAATGATCACCTTTTCTAAAGTTGTCACCGGGTCCACGAGCATCGGCTGTTTTTCAAACACCTGGTCTGTTCACCTGCATCGGTTTCAGGGTTTTATTAAATCTTGGTGGTAAACAAATCTCGCATTTCACTTATTTCTTAGATTTTTTTTTTTCTTTTCCATAATCTTTGAATGATTCCAGAAACCTTTAAATATTTTTATGTATTTTATTTCTCTTCATTGTGAACATGATTTGGGCCATGACTGAATTCGGTTCCTGAACAATACTGATGTTGGTTCCTGAACGCCCCACAGTAATTTCAGTCCCTGAATGCCCCACTACACAAACACACATGTAGAGAAGACAACATTTTCTAGAGTTTCATAAAGTCATTTCCAATCACACCTAAAACAACAGGCTGAGCAAACACAGAAAAGACACGAGGCCATCTCCCTACCTGCTCAGGTGCTCTCAGAGGCCGTCAGCTGTGCGTCTGTGTGGACTCAGCCTCCTGCAGGAAAATCACCACAAAGCAGGTCACTGATTTGGAAGTCTGTGGTATCTGTGGGCCTACACACAGGCACAAGACGAATCTAGTGTGGCAGCAGCTGTAGTTCAAGGGCGTGCTTTTGCATATGGACAGCAGGGACATGTCTCCACCAATATTTGAGCAAACCGGTGTGCATTGCCTTTAAAGTCATAGGTCATTACTGACCTACTGAATGGGTTGGGGTGCACTGTCTCACAACAGTGATGCTACATATGACACTGAAGCTTCAGAGCTTGTATGGAGCAGAGGGGCGATCCCAAGTGAAGCCTCACTTCGAAGCTTGTCATTTTCCTGACTGTCATGTGATCAATAACAACCAAGGTCCCAGTTTCTCACAGCATCACGTGACTGTTTCAGTTTGCTATTCACGGATTCGAACTGTTGATACAAGGACAGAGAAACCTTACTTTTGTAGTTGGATAGTTACTCTGTGGAAAATGCTAAGACTGTACAGCATGTTTACTGTTTTAATTTTATTTGTCTAGTGGTGAGGATTTGAATCGAGTTTGACTCAACTCTTGGCAGTAAGAATACGAACCCTAAATTAGTAAACCGAATTATCTCCCTGTAACATAAAGGGCAGCATAAATCTCATATAACAGAAACTTTGGTTTCTAAATGAAAGTATGTAGTCACAGCAGTGACTGATGCTGCTGCACTTCATCGTTTTACCAGGAGGTGTCACTAGTAAACGCTGAGTCAAATGACGCTCCGGGTAACGAACCTTTGGTGGCACAACGGACCACGAAGCCTCGTTTGGCCACCACTATATCACAGCCTCTGCAGCTACACAGTCGGTGTACGCGTGTGACTGTGCACGACAAGCTGAGGCAACAGACAGAGTGACAATACCTGCCGAATGCAAGCAGCTGCCATGAGACATCCGCAGGTCACAGTGTGATGTTGCAGGTTAACACACCTGTCCCCGCTCGTCGCGTTCGGCTCCAGGTGAGCGGCCGCAGTGTGACGGTGAACAGGTGAAGTGTCAGCTGCGTTCGCGGACACACACTCCCGCCGTTAAACCGACTACACCTCGGTCAAAGCCATTCTTTGCAACGCAGACCTGAGGAGGCCGACTACAGCTGTTTTCCTTCTGCAGCACTCACGAACGCATGTCCTCGCTGGACATGTGGGAACATGCGCACAAACAGGGTTTGGCGGTTATTCATTTCACAATAAAAGCTGTTGTAAAAGGAAGTAAACACGACATAGGTGAAAAGTAGGCCTACGTTTACTCAAGTAGCCTACCGAGGTAAATGGTAAATGACCTTTTACTTGTATAGCGCCTTTCTATGCTTTTACAGCTCACTCAAAGCGCTTTCACACTATTAGGCCATTCACCCATTCACACTCCCAAACGCTCACAATTTGATGGTATTTATACATTTTATTATTTCCATTTTAAGCTACTTTAGATTAAACTCCACTACATTTACTTGAAAGCTTAATTTACAGGTTATTTAGCAAACATAATAATAAAACAATAAAATCAACAAATAAATGATGTAGCCAATTATTATGGATGAAGTACAAATAAGGTAGTAAACATTAGCTCCGCCTTTACCGGTGTAACATTAGTGATGCCAATAATTCTATTGTTCTTTTATATTTCTAATTTTGCTACTTCGAGTATATTTTGATGCTAAAATACTGCGTCTTTACTTAGGTAACACTTTGAAGGCAGGACTATTACTTGTAACCAGTAATCTATGATGATGATGATGATGATGATCAAACTGTGGGTCGGGACCCTCCAAACGGCCACATTTCTCTCACACATATCTGTGTATGTTGTTCCTCTTCACATCGAGATTACAGCTCTCAGGTGTATTTATTTACACAAGTTTAAATAAAATTAGCTCTTCTCTGTTGTGACAGTCCTGATCCCGATCCGGGTGGGTCCCGGACTGGGATGAGGGTGTGTTTAGGGGGAGGGCACGGGACAGAGCTCCGGACGTCTGGATCGTGACGGAGGACGAGTCGACGCAGGAAGACACGACTCCTGCAGCGGGGGGAGGGTAGAGGCGGGTCCTGGACCCTGCAGGTCCCTGGGGTGCTGCTTCCTGGGCCCCCCGCTCTGTCTGAGTTTAATGGGCCTGTCGTTATTAATGAGGTCTCCATGCAAACGATGCGTCACGACACGGGGGGGTTGGGGGGATTAGGTGGGTATAAAAGCGGCCAGCGTGGACAGTGACGCTCCGTAGCCCCGCACTGAACCCATCGGACCCCCGGTGCCTAGGAGCCGCCGAGCCAAACCCGGATGATGCAGAAGAAGGCTCCGCTAGAGTTGGGACACGAGGCTGCGCAGCACGTTAACACCGTAAACAGGTGAGAGCAGAATTCCTGAGCAGGTGGGACTGCAGGACGCGCGTTTATCCTGAGGAGAGAGAGTTTGGGGCATGTTCAGAGCGCAGATACAGGTGCTGCGCTCAGCTGCAGGAGCAGCACAGGAAGGTGAACCGAAAACACGGCGGATGCTCGGAAAGTTGATTTAAACATAAGTGAACATTTCGCCAGCATACGGAACCCGCGAAGAGCTGTGTGCTTAGCCTCTCATTTTATTAAGTGCTCGGTTTAACGTTGGGTTTCTGGGTGTGAGTGCAGGGAGCGGGCGTCACCATCCTCACATGCACAGAAACAGCATGGCACAGTAAACGCAGGATCATGTCAGGATCCACACAGACACCAGCCTCATCATCAGTTCTGATACTTTCTCTTTGCACAGCTGACCTGACTGTGTGTGTGTGTGTGTGTGTGTGTGTGTGTGTGTGTGTGTGTGTGTGTGTGTGTGTGTGTGTGTGTGTGTGTGTGTGTGTGTGTCTGCAGTGGTCCAAGTCGGCGTCTCCTGATGAAACACACAGTGACTCCACATGGCATCATCCACAGTGACGGTATGACAACTTTACCTTTTTAAGAACATGGAGTCTGACAGCTGCCAACAGGATCATTAGCCTGATTGGGTTTTACCACAATGTCCAGTTTTTCTGAGAAACTGTTTAAAACCTAAACACCTGTTGTCCACTTTCCAACAGGGCAGAAAAATATCTGACAGCAGTTTCTGGTTTCAGCAGCAAATGCTTTTTAGCAAATGTCTCAACACATTCATGGATCATCCAAATTGTTGCAATCATCATCTTTGGAGACCTAAGCTAAAAAACATTTTGCAGGTGAAACAGTCACTTCATCAGTAAAAGATAAAAACTGACTTGTTATAGTGCTGCCAGCAGCGACGCTGCTACTGTTGGCTGTTCTGCTGATTTCTTCCTGATGGATCAATTCATCTTCTGATCTGTAAAACGCCACAAACAGTGAAACATGTCCATCGTGACGTCCCACAGAGCAGGCGTGTTGTTTCTTTTTCTTTGGGCTCAGTAAAGTTCTGAAACCATGTATTGATAGGTTGTCAGTCTACAAGTCATCACAGCTGTTTCCTGTGTGGCAGCAGGTGTTTCAGACCTGGTTTTCATCCCCCCTCTCCTTTCCTCAGGTTCTGATCCCAGGGGTGTCTGTCGGATCTTCACCAACAGTCGGGAGCGCTGGCGGCAGCAGAATGTTAACGGAGCGTTTGCCGAGCTGCGTCGCCTCATCCCCACCCACCCCCCTGACAGGAAGCTCAGCAAGAATGAGATCCTACGCCTCGCCCTCAAGTACATCAACTTCCTAGACGAGATCCTAATGGACCAGGACCTCAGGGGGGCCCCCTGGGGCCAAGCAGAAGGCCTGGAGCAGGTGTCCAGGCTGCAGCGGGCACTGACGCCAAGTTCAGGCTGTGAGAGTTCAGTGGACGGAGACTCAGATGGTGTGACGGAGGAGCAGGACTGTGGTGGTCTGCAGTACCTCCACCTAGCAGCTAGCTACAGCTGAGCAGGTCCGGCAGCATCCTAGTGATCCAGGGTGCTGGCCCCCGGAGAGTTGAGGGTGGTTTTTATTTAGTGAAGCTCAGGCAGGGTCCAGCACCAGTCTAGGGATGGTTCTGATAGCTAGTTCTACTTTGGATCTGGTTCCAAGTTGTCAAGTATCATGGCCAAACCAATCTGATCTGCCATTTAATGGATGTGTGCTGAGCCCCACACAGCTCAGCACAGGGTTCACGGGTCGACGTGCTGCCTCGGGGTCAGGCTGTCTGCTCCGTGGGTCAACACGAGCAGGACCACGTGTGTCATTAACGTGATCAGGACTAACCACATCTTCAAATTCTTTGTCACCTATAACAATTCAAATGAGTTTTGTCGATGCTCTGTGAGTGAAACAGAATCCCGATACTTTCTTTTAAAACAGATCCACTAAACAGATTCAAAAATGGATTCGAATTCATTAAAAGGCTTTTGAAACGTCACCCGTTCCTCCCGTGGTCGTGTCAAAGGAAACGGGCTGTTGTGCTCAGACCGTGAGGTTGTTTTCTATGAGAATCTTTTCCTGTCCTAACACACAGCCGTGTGGTTGTCATGTGATAGTCACATGTATCATGATGAGTCCATGTTACCAGTTTCCTCTGTGATGATTGTGTTACACAAAGTTCTGGTGCATGAGCAGAACCACCAGATCCAGTTTCTTCATGTTGAAGCAGCTCTCGTATCAAACTCTGTGTTCAGTGGAAAGTCTTTGTTGTGCACTTGTGATTTTTATCTGATGAATCTGTAAGAAAACAGATGAATAAAAGAGATTCTACCCAAACTGCTGCTGTGGTTTAATCACAGGATGTGAGTAAAGTCATCACAATGGTTCAGTGACTGTTTGACTTCCAATGTCCTTTTATTGTGAATTCAAAGACACTGTCAGGGAACTGATCTACATTTGTTCCCGAAAGCTGAGTTTGGTCTGTGCGCTTTCTGTACCTGCTGTCAGGATGTCGCTCTGGCCGCCTGCACACTGCCAAATACATAAAAGCTCATTTTGAAAACTTGCACAGATTAAAGCAGGGATGGGGCACGAAGCCAGACTGGGAATTGGAAACAGACTCGATCTCTTCAGATAAACATGAGAAACAGCCACACACCGGGACAAAGCCAGCAGGATGTCTAGTCCTCACCTGAGTGCAGTTTTTAACCCAATGTGCTGACTGATCCCTCCACACAGTCCCTCATCATCTTTATGAGCTTCATCCACACCTTATCAGACATCTTCATCCTGGTCTTCCTCCTGTGTGAGAGGCAGCGGGGAGTTTTCCCACAGTATAGTCTGTCAGGATCACATATGAACAGTGACAGGAGGTCACATTGCTGCTCACAGTAATGACCCATTGATGGGTGGGCGTGATGACTGATAAAGATCTGAGTTGGTTAGACGGCTCCCAGAGAGACGACAACAACAGCAACAGGTCCCAGAGGAGCGAGGAGGCGGGGACCAATCAGAGAGCAGAGTGTGAGATGCTGTTTCACCCTCACTTCCCACCTGAGTGAGTCTGGACCTCGTCAGCTCCACTCATGTGTCTCCTACACCTGTGATGTGTCTCAGACATCCTGCACAAACTCTCTTCATCTATTCAAAGGTATTGTTCATTTATTTTCTCAGGGACAATGCACATGAATCCACATCCCTGTGAATCTGCCAGTGTTCACCGAGAGGGCAGATGCTACAGCAACAACAAAACACACAACATTTACAAGTTATAACAAGAGCGAGTCAGTGAAACATGCAGCAGCTGAATAAAACAAACTTAAATTAAGAGCACAATGCCAGCAGACAGTTAACACAACACAAAATAAAGTGACCAATCAGAGCCCCAGACAAGCTTCGTGAAACCAGAGGGGACAAAATAACAGACAGCAGTGAAGCAGACGAGGCAGGTCTGGTTTGTTTTAGCCCAGTTTTTAGGCTCCGTGTCAGAGAACAACAGGTCATATAGGGAATGAAAGACTGATCCAAAACTTGCTCCTATTCTGAAAGGTGTCTGGCTGAAGGACATTTCCCTCCTTGGGCCAACAGCGTCCCCTCTTACCCTGGGTCCAGTGGATCTGTCCCAAAATTTTTCTCAATGTGTTACACAGGGGATGCGCTAATCCATTCAAAATGTTGTATTAGACAAGGATTATGGAAATTAATACAGCTTGTATTGATGCATGCAGGGGCGTGCAGAGAGTTTCTCAGGGGCAGGGGCTCATCGGCATGGAGCTAACTTGAATTATTTCCAATAATACTCTTATCAATAATAAATACATGTACCAGTCTGTTAAACAGACTGTTCTTCACATTCACAGTTGTGAAAATGAGACCTACTGATATTTTACTTTGATCTTGGTAGAAATACAATATTTAGCCGGCTGTAAAAAGGCAGCTTTGGGCAAGGAGGTAGCTCGCTGCACTGAAGACATGCATCAGATCCACTGGTTTACATATGATGCACGAGCCTTTATGGCGCTGTCTCAGTCATGGCTCAGCTTTTCTCCAAGCTGACAGAGAAACTTCCTTCCTTTCATTTCTCCTCAGCTTTCTGCTGTCTTGTCTCTGTTTGGCATCTTCTTCACAGATGGAGTAAAATGGCTGCAGGACTCATGTCATTGACTGAACCAAACTGTCAACACTAAAACAAATACAGTATGTAGCTAGTTCAGCCTAGACGACATAGCTAGCTGGACTGGCTGCAGAGTCACATCAGTAACACAAGAGACACCCAGCACCCCATGATGTTCTACTGTACGTTTGAAAACAGGTGAGTGGCTGCACAGCAGTCAACAATATATGCAATCATTATGTGATTATGAGTCACTGAGGTGATGTCTGTACACATTACTCATAGTGAGCACTTTTACTTTTGCTACTTAAAGTACACTTTGATTCTAACCCTTCTGTGCTTTTACCTGATTGGGCTTAATGCAGCACAGTGCAGCAGCAGCACAAAGCCATCTGCCTCAGGTGGGAAGTGAGGGCGAAGCAGCGTCTCACACTCTGCTCTCTGATTGGTCCCCGCCTCCTTGCTCCTCTGGGACCTGTTGCTGTTGTTGTCGTCTCTCTGGGGGCCCTCTGACCAGCTCAGATCTTTATCAGTCATCAACTCCCCGCCCACTCATCTTTGGGTCATTACAGTGAACGACCACGCCTCTCCGACCTCCTGACCCTCCTGTCACTGTTCATGTGTGATCCTGACAGACTGTACTGTGGGAAACTCTTTGCTGCCTCTCACACAGGAGGAAGATGAGCATGAAGAACTCTGATAGGGTGTTGATGCTGCAGAGTCCACCGAGGCTCATAAAGATGCAGACAGATCAGTCAGCAATGAGCAGTGTAATCAGACAGTCAGATGTCAGGAAGTGGATTGATCAGCCTGTAAGAATCAGGGAGAGTCACCTGGTGAGCGCACACCTGCATCCAGCTGCTGCCACATAAACATAAGCTTCATCAGTTATTTGTTACATCTACATAGCTGGGTGATGGAGTTCTCCAGATTATTTTGGAGGTGATTTAACAAGACTCTGAATTTTCTGGTTCAGTTTTAAATTAACACGGGAGGGAAGCTGACTCCACTTCTTTCCACTTTATGTAAACTTCCTACTTTCCCGGAGACACATGCTGTGTTTTAACTGTGTCTGTCTGATGCTGCAGCTACTTTTCTAATGCTATCTTTTCATCCCTTCATCTACCACCTCTGAGTAACTGCAGAGTTACGTCCCTGTATGGATGGAGAAACCTCTCCTCTGTCTTAAACTAAACAAACTAACTGATTTTATCATTTGATTTTCATTTGCTGGCTAGTGTGCAGGACTCTGTAGGCTGGGTTTGGAAAACTGCTCTGTAAATAAAGATGATTATTATCATGGGTGGTCTTGGATAGGCCTGTTTTGTCTTATTCTATTTTACTGTACTCTAAAAAAACCCTGTAGTGCTACTTGTATTTTCTACCTGATGTGTGAACCTGCAGTTGTTTGACGTTCACTGTGGGAAATACTATTACCCTATTTTTGTATATTGTGTTTTAATACTTTGTCGCCCTTACTGTATGTAACTTTTTATTTTAAGTGTTCTTTCTGGCTTTTGACTCCTTACCTGACTCCAAAGGAGAGCTGCACAAGAATTCCTATATGTCTAGACTGTCTGTTTATGCATAAATTGGCAAATAAAAAACTTGAATCTGCTGTTGAGCATGAAAAACTGTGCCACCTTGTGGCGACATCATTCATGTGAACAGTGAGTCAGAATAAAACCGGTCTCGTTAATGATCCAAATTATCATACTAATGTGATGTCTGACTGATGTTCTTTCCCCTTTCCTTAGTGAAACAATAAACTACATAGCCAAAAACACATTCACACCTGTCTGTATATGCAAGTCTAGATTCTGTTCAGAAGTCAACCGTGACCTTGGTCCTCACAGTGATGGTACAGGACGGCCACCGTGGAAACCGAATCACGTGGATCATAAATCGACAGGTGTCTTGGAAACTTGGTTGACAGTTGTTGAGAACAGTCCTGCTGAGATGTCAATGGCTGAAGTGATATTAGGTAGAGGAGGTTTAGGTTTAGCCTGAACTCATGGTTTTAAGTTGCACAGAGTTTGTAGTAGAAATTTAATTCATATCAGTTATAATGACTGGATAAAGTGAAGCGTGTGAAAGTAGTTTGCTGTATTTTCTGGTTAAAGAACAAGTTCACACAACTTAAGTTTGTGACAAATCACAGATTTTAAAATTCAGATTTTTTTTTTTTCTTTCAGTTTTTATGTCATTTCCTGCCTATGTAAACCTCTGTGTATGAAGTGTGTGACAAATAAAGCTGCCTTGGCTTTTTGTTGAAGAAACACCTGAGCTGCATTTGTTGGAATAATATGAAGTTTTACTAGCTACATGTAACTGTGACTTGTGCCACGGAATAAAAGCTGCAGTTGTTATAGTATGGACACAACCAGTCTGTGGTCTGCAGATAAAAGCTTCAGACTGAGCGGCTGAAACCCTCCAATGCTGAAATGAACTCACCCCGATGATTCAAACGTAACACAATTTAATCTCAAACATTCTTACATGTAAGCGAATGACAGCTGCAGCTTTGGCTTTAATAACCAAATGCGGCAGAATGTCCACACAGGTCCAACACAGAGAAAAGTAAAGCGTTATTTACCTTCATTTTTCTTTTTAAACCATCAAGAAACACTGACATTGTTGGCACAGGTTATAGGAAATATGGGGCACCGTTAGTGCTGCATATTTTTCAATCACAGTGAGTCCTGACAGCGTCCTGGGACGAACTAGTCAGCCTGGTACTAACTGTGGATGTAAGTGAGGAATCACTGACTGAAAAAACGTGAGCATTGTTGGCAGGCGAGAACAAATCAAAAATAAACTTTCAAATACTGGGCAAATGATAAATTGATGCCAAGTGAGATTTAAACACAGCGGCTCCTTGGCTCCTTCTTAGAGTTGGTACCAAGTGACAGTTATCTGAGAGTGTGAGGATGTGTTGGCACCGTAATATAGTTTTTCTTCGACCAAATAAGAAACACCTGAATGTGACCAGAGCTGGGTTCACCCGTCAAGAGCGCCTCATTAACCCTCTGCAGTCATGACATCACGTTTGCTGAGTTGAAACTAGATTAAAGATCAAACAGACTTATTTCCACCTGGTGTATCTGATGAAAATGCAGTAGTGAGAGTAGTATGACAACTGTGACTCTAGCAAATAAGACCTAGTAGCCCACCTACTACCATCCCATTTCTCAAATCAGTTGAGACTTTGAGAATCCAACTCAGACAAACTTGTGCTGAAGCTTCATTTGAGCCTCAGACAAACCTTGCAATGAATTTTTGCACAAAACAAAAGCTGTGTGCGGCTCATTTTTTACAGTATAGTCACATTCAGGGTCGATGTGAAGCGCTGGAAAAGTTTCGCCAACTAAGGCCTGTTCTTACATATGAGTACGTCAGTGTAGTTTTCAGGCCAATGTGAAAAGTCTCAAGCCAGCTGCTTCTGGATGTGTGGATGCCCTTCGCTGCACTGTGGCCCTGCATGAACTGATGCCGTGCTGGGCCACCGTGCAGGCTGGACGCATTTCATGCATGGAAACACTTTGTTCACACGTTATTTTTGG